GATATAGCAAATCGAACGCTTGCGTAAAGTTTGGTCAGTGTTTTAATAAGGCTCACAATTTGCACCGCCACGAAATTACTTGTGAATCGAACATCAAACATAAGTTTCCGAGTGGTGGGTACGACACTGAGCAAGATTTTGTTTTCAAAGATCTCCTAACTGTCGACCCAAGAGACTCGGAAACTTGCAACGCGCCTATAACGATAGAAGAACTGGATCTGGCTGTCGGTCAATTAAACAAACGTAAATCGCCAGATTTAGATGGTCTTACTGGCGAATTTTATCAGTGTTTCTAGCCTTTGATCAGAGAGGATTTTTACGAGGTCTTTCAAAAATGTACCTGTTCTGGTTCCTTACCATCATTTTGCAGGAGAGCAGTTATCTCCCTTCTACCCAAACAAAGAGCTCTCCTAGACATTGCTAACTGACGACCGGTCTCGCTATTGAATACGAACTATAAAAATCATTGCAAAAACTATCGCTAATCGACTTAAAAATGTCATAGGAGACGTAAGTCACCTTGACCAGTGTCATGAGACAGCATCATGTATGCTAATCACAACGACATTCCCTTGGCTTTGTGTAATTTAGATCGAAAGAAAGCCTTTGATTGTGTTGATCACAATTATCTGTTCAAAGCACTCGAGAAGATGGGATTTGGTAAAGAGTTTATTTCCCTGATTCAACTTTTGTAGAAAGATGCTAGTAGTATTGTCAAGGTTCAGTCCTCTCTTACAGCTCTCTCCTCCTTTGGGAGGGGAATTCGTAAAGGATGTCCTCTGTCCGGGCTTTTGTACTCGATAGCCATCGAGTCTTTTTTGATAAGATTAGGCTGAGGATGTGTCTGCACGGACTTCCCGTGCCCGGTCTCGACACCACTTTGATTGTCTCGGCGTACGCTGACGACGTCACCTTGTTTGTCACATCCAACAAAGGATTTGTAATTCTTGATCAAATTTATACCCTGTATAGTCGTGCCTCGTCTGCATGTTTAAATCCTAACAAGTGCCCGGGTTTATGGGTCGGATTTTGGACAAAAAGATTCGATTGTCCTCTAGGTTTTAAGTGGAATAATCAAAATCTTAAATTTCTTGGAGTTTATGCAGGAAATACTGAGTCCTCACGACAAAAAAACCTGAAAACTGTGCAGAGATAAACTTAAAAATGCCCTCGCTAGATGGAGCAGCCTGGCTTGTACCATGTCTTTCAAAGGAAGAATAATAATTGCCAATCAAACTGCGCTTCAAGTCTTCTTCATTTTTTGACAGTTCTTCCTCCTCCCAGTCACGTCCTGGATCAACCCCAAGAACTTTTAATTTATTTTGTTTGGACTGATAAACGTCACTGGCTTAAAAGATAAATTGTGTTTCAACCTCCAGACAAAGGAGGGCTGGGGTTGAACTGTTTGAAAGCTCGTCTTATGACGTACAGATTTTCCTTGCTCCAGCGACTGATACGCCAAAATAAACATCCCTCTTTTCGCTTCCTGGTTTACTATATCCGCCAATATCGGAACCTAGGTCACGATATACGATTGCTGTACTCCAATCTGGAGAGGAAATATCTCACCAGTCTTCCCGTTTTTCACGGGAAATATTGCAATCTTGGATTACATCGAAAGCCTCAATGAGCACACTGCCGAACTCTTTTGAGTTAATATGTAATTTACCGTTAAATAGTATTGTAGTATGGAGTTAACATAAATGGAAAATAAAAGAGGACCCAGAATTGATCCTTGCAGAACACCGTGAGTAACAGACTGAAGTTTGGAGCTAGCTTTGTTCAAGTAGACTCGTTATGTTCGACCTGACGAGTAGCTAGAGAACCATTTTAAGGCACACGCTGAACAACCCAGAGAGCTTAATTTAGCCAGAAGAATTCCGTGGTTAACTGTATCGAAAGCCTTTCTAAGATCAATAAAACCTACAACTGTCAGATCACCGCCTTCAACATTTCTGCTCCACTGATTGACCATTTTGGCAAGAATCGTAGTCGTGGAGTGCATTGGGCGGAACCTACACTGGTTGGGATGCATCGAATCATGTTCGTTAATAAATTCATGCAATTGCGTGTACACAGCCCTCTCCAAGATTTCACTTACCATTGGCAAGATGGAAATAGGCCGATAGTAACCTATATCAGAGGTATTTCCAGACTTAAAGATTCGAACTATTTTTGCACTCTTCTCTCCGTCAGGCACATATCCATGCACCAAGGACATATTTAAGATTTTCGTCAAAGACAGCTAAGTTGGCCATTCCCTGTCGCTTTGGCAACATTCATAGTAATGATAGTTCTTTGCACAAAGTCACTCGATACAGATCTCAGGTTGAAAACACAATCATCACTACGAGGAAAGTCAGTAAAGACAATAGGAATAGTATCAGGTAAGTCTTTTGTGACGTTTTCGGCATAGGACACAAGATAATCATTAAATGTGTTAGCTATTACATCAGTTTCACTGCAGTCCGTTCCGTTTACCTCGATCGAACTAGGGAGAATGGGACCTTGGTTTGGAGTTACCGCCTTAAGGCAGCTCCGTATCTTTTTGCTGTTTCCAGCATTATCATTGATCAGACTACAGTTGTGATCACGTTTCTGTTTCTGTAACATATGTGTAACTGTATTCCGTAAACTGCTATACTTATCCCACAATTCCTGGCAATTAAGTTTGATAGCAGCCGTATGGATCCTATCACGTTCTTTCATCAGCTTAACAAGATCATCAAACTCCCACTGCTCGATACACCGGTAGCCTTGATCAAAGATAAATTTGCGTCTCTCTAGCGTCTACTGATGAAGTTCCTCCATCGTTAGGCCGTTGAAGGGATGTTTGGTTTCGCGAGCCAAAAACGTATGCCCATGATGGAGGCAGCCGTTAAACTCCAGGACCGTCTTTACACCATTATCGATGTAGAAGCAGTCAACTCTTTATTTCCCAACATGCACCTCTCCATTGTTACCCGGATACTGAATGTTATGACCGGTTTCGTGGGCTGTCCATTTCAGCCACTGGAGGGCCTTGACTGACAGACGGTCATTTGAACAGTACCCTGAAGAGTGGATGATGCCAATGGTATCTGGGTTAAAGTGCTTGGTGCGGTACACGAGATAGCAGGCTGACGCAATGGTAATACACTGCTGGAAGGGGTCGATGCCGGGAGAGGTTTCATCCGTTGGCATATCCATGCATAGTGCCTTGATCGAACCCCCTTCAGGGACGTGACATAAAAATAGCTTCTGTTTACAAAGGCTGGCATTTTTGCGATGAAGTCGCAGTGGCCGTGGTGAAAATACAGGCATATCTGTTTGCCTGCTGGTGGACCTTTGAAAATGATGGAGTTCGCATGTTCTGTAGAAGCTACCAAAATCTGATATCCGGGAAGAACGCGTAGAAATTGTTTGATTTCCCCCATACTACACTTTGAAAACAGAATCCCAGCACGTTTGTGAAGGTCCTCGGCCAGATTCAATTGAATTGTACATCCTTTGCGAATGGCCTCTCAGCATTCATGCCCCTCAATTTTAGCCTTTGCTGTGACTATTGCTCTAACACAGCACAGTTCATCTTTGTTTATTTGTATTATGCATTGTTTTTTCTGTTTGAGGAAGCGTTCGAAATTGACATAACGTTTCTTGTTAATTTTTCCCCAAGTGGCATGGCCACATGGGTTATGTTGATATGAAGAGTGCTATCCAAGGAAAATTCTTCTTTACCTCTGACCACCAGCTCAATTCGGGACATAAATCGTTCCGCCGTCAACTGATCCTTGGTGATGAACGGTAACTGGATGGGGTAGTCGAGCTCGGGACACCTGACCACCATACGCATGAGATCCTTGGGGCCTGCACCTGGCTGGTTTGGCTATCCAAATCTGCAACACGGCTGTTGTGTCAGAGATATCCAGGTTGTCCTCAAAGGTGACGGTGTAGTCTAACCCTTTCGTGCTAAACTTTTTCATCTCTACCTCTTTCACCTTGTTCACACGGTATAGATCGGTGATGTCTGCGATGTTGTTGGAATCGGTAATTTTCTGTCGTTTGGCTGCGACTGGTTGGTCGTCTGCTGTCGCTCTAAAGCCGATTTGCTCTTCACCATGATGACTCCTAAAATGTCGAAAGTAGTTGTCACGGCGAGCGAATACTTTGCCGCACGAGTTACACTGATGTTGGCTAGCATCGTTGTGACGGGCTGCGTGACGGCTGTAATTGTCCCTTCTGGTGAACGTCTTATCGCATATCTTGCAAGTAAACATCTGTGAAGTAACGAGAAACGTTGAGGGTTAAGGTATGAATGATAATATACCCCAAAAGACAGACTTAAACTTGCTAATGGCCCAAATCATTATGCAAAACATCCTAAATATGCACGGATGTCTAGAGAATAAGTAAGGAAACCACATGTAGACTGATGTTTAACAGCGACATATGAATTAATATTTCTAGCGCACAGTGTCTTGGTCTCCCGTTATGATGCATATTATGATTAACACAAAATATATACAGTAGGTGGTTGCATCAGTCTCATTACTGATGCAAAGGGTACCTTTTCCACTCGAGGACTTTTTTACGACTGCCACGCTCTGTTGTTCGCGACTTCTTTCTGCTTCTCTTCCAAAATTTTCTTGCTTTAAGGTCTGATCTGTAAATGGAAAGAACAAAGACTGATTGATTATACAGTGTACATGTATTTGCCGCTTTACAAAACAGGAGAGGAAACGTCATGTGTAATACTCGTACACTTGAGCGAGAGCTGTTCTGAGCGATGTGTCAATAGCTGTTGCTGTGGCTACATTTTAGAACATTTATTATTCTATTGCGGACGTCGTACTTGCATAGTTAAACATTCTGTCACGTAAATACATATGATTGGCTAAAAAAATCCATTCTGTAATGTGACGGGCTGAGAACTATGATCTCGTGAAGGAGGCATGGCGTCATGTTGAACGGATCGTTCCACACAAGAAACGTGTCTGGACACGTCACACAACACAGCTTCAGTCCGATTGGGAACGAGCTATGATTACGTCATGTTTGCATATTAAAATCCACACGGGAAACCTGTCTGGACACGTTTATTCCCATTTCAATAAATAGGTCTATTATAGACTCAATGTCTACCTCCGCATTAGTAATATTTAACTTTAATTAAGTCCCTGCGTGGAGGGAGTGGCCTCTTTTGGAGAGGCCCCTGGAGCTAATTNAACAATATACTAAAAAAGACAGACTAGAACTTGCTAATGGTCCAAATCATTATGCAAAACATCCTAAATATGCACGGATGTCTGGAGAATAAGTAAGGAAACCACTTGTAGACTGATGTCTACCAGCGACATATGAATTAATATTTCTAGCGCCGCATAGTGTCTTGGTCTCCTGTTATGGTGCATATTATGATTAACACAAAATATATACAGTAGGTGGTTGCATCAGTCTCAGTACTGATGTAAAGGATACCTTTTCCCCTCGAGTACTTTTTTACGACTGTCACGCTCTGTTGGTCGCGACTTCATTCTGCTTCTCATCCACAATTTTCTTCCTTTAATTAAGGTCTGATCTGTAAATAGAAAGAACAAAGACTGATTGATTATACAGTGTACACGTATTTGCCGTTTTACACAACACCAGAGGAAACGTCATGTGCAATACTCGTACACTTGAGCAGGAGCTGTTCTGAGCTCAAGGTCAAGATTTTCGTTACTCTTCTCAAACACCAGACTACACGCCAATCGTTGCCGATGCTTACCAAACGAAGTGTAGTGTATAAATGCGCGCTGACAGCGCCGGTTGCGTAAAACAGGTTTTGAAAACACCGTCGAACCGAGCGAGAAGATAAGACAGGACATGTCCGGTAGTTGTTTACTCATTATTTTCCCAATGATTCATCGCTGTTACGTAACAGGCTCTCCCCGTTCGAATACAAAAGCTACTGTGTCCAACATGGGCAGCACGACTGCATATGGCGTGTAATCCGTTCCGCCTTATTCCTACGTTATTATTAACTTCAATCTTGAATTTACGTACCGTAAATTTATCTCAGCCCTGCATGTAATTGTATTCTTATCGTATCTGTTAAAGTACGTTTTTCTACCCCGGATGTCTACGACCAACATACCGTAAGGCCTTTTGTACGGTTTCGAATCACAGTAGACCTAAAAACAACACACACACCTCTACTATAACATTTGTTTGTGTGAATTGCACTACAGATACATAGTACGTGTATGTACAATACCTACACAAAATGGTGCACTCCAAGTTTATAGGCGATGTCCGAAACTAAGGCTGCATCCAAATCTGTTGCCTAGAGCTAGGTCTAAGTCTTCGCTCCACTGGAAATGTGTGCAAAGGCGTAGACAACAGACCTAGCTGTAGCTCTGGAGGCCTTAAAATTGTGGAAAACACTTGAACATGTCCCAACACGTCATCGCACAATCGCGATCATATCTGAGTCCTGCTTCATTCATTAAACCGGGTTCGGGTTTAACCATGTTTCACGGCGGTAAAATAGTCACCACGAACACAATGAGAATTAACGAACTTAATTGATCCTTCATATTTTGTCTATGTGTAGTAGCAGGTGCTTATCCAAGGTACAGTGTAATAATAGTAAAGTATACATTCATATTATAATTTATACTATACACCTTATATATATATTCTATAAAACCTCCTTCCAACATATAAACACCCCTACTATAAATGGTACGGCCACCTCCTCATTTTATGACATTAAGGTGTTACGTGGCAAAATCCAGTCTTCTGGTTGGTCGAGAGGCCAGAAACAGGGGGAAAAGGGGCGTGGTTTTACCTATACAGACGGGTTGCACTACTTACCTTGGGACGCTCTTCGTAAGAAATGTTACTGATATGTAGGGCGCTGGTTATGTTGATAAAAGAGGTTGAATGAAGGTTAGTGAAATGATTATCGCATTCTAATATACTGTCGTAGTGTGAGTTATCCTCTTATCAATATGTGCCACCTTATGGACATAGCAAAGAGCTGAAAATATCTTACGCAGTTAACACACCAGCTAATAAAGAGACAAAGTGAAAATACAACCTTCTATTTAAAAATTATGGGGCCGGTGCACATCTTGAGGTAAATCTTATGCAAATCAAGGATTATGTTTTTGTGGAGTTTGGCCACCCAAAGGAATAGTACAGGCAATGTGACAACCGCTAATTTATGGATTGACAGAGGTGCAGCAAGGACTTGATCGCACTCGCTTAAACCACATGAAAAGGCCCCCTTAACAACCTGCCCACCTTCGTGAGAGCATTCCATTGAAAACAAGACTACTTCGAAACTCACGTTCCTGCTTACAGGAAGTTCCAGACTAACAAATTAGCTTATGAAATGCATGAAAAGTTACTTGACAGTCTAAAGTTATCCAGAGAAGCCGTAGTCAAGGTATTGAAATACATTTGCTCCCATTTCCCATTGAACACTTACTCCCTTTTTACTTCACGTTTCTCAAATTTACTAGACTTTGTTTACCAATGAAGTACTGAAAATGAAAGACCCAACAAATAAACAATTCGATAAATTAATTTTAATTTTCTGCGTGGTTGACATGCACAATTGTTTATTTGGCACAGTTTTACGACAAACTTCACCTTATATGGAAATATAGGTAGAAATCAGGAGACTCAGATTTGACCTCATGATCTTAATATGTTACCTTCAAGGTCAAAGATCATTTTGGCAACTGGGTGAATATAATACTTCAGAATGTGACCTTTGAAAATGAGTTGGGCAGTTAATACCTGTGCGTATACATTTGTGTACCTGCGTCGCGTTCTGATTCGATTTTTACGTGGTTGCTGGAGCTGCTCGTTTAGAGAGGCCGTTTCATGTCTCAGGGTTGCAGAGCCCTGAGTCCGTACTAAAGGTATATAAATGCTTCAGTGGTTGTCCCCTATCCTCTACAGCTCTTAAAAACCACCAAAAGTACATCACAGTACGGTGGGAGGGGGGGCCTTTCCCCAGGCTATCCCGATTTTCTTTGGGGGGGGGGGGCTCGCCACGCGCCAGTCAAGCCACACCACCACTACATCATCCCCCTGTCACAGTCTATGGGAACGCTAGCACTTCACACAAAATTTAATATTTACAATATATACATCTAAATTTATTCAAAAGAATAATTATGCACAACTTGAAATTGCAGGGGAAATCTAGTCGGTTCAAAGGATCCTAGTTAAATGCCAAATAGTCAAAATGTTCCTCAGTGCAGAACTTGGACCATAAGACGGCGAATTCATCAATCATACTAGATTTATCTTACAATTAAATTTCCTTACCAATTCTTATTTTACACAGTCAAATTCCTTCATACACATTACTCAATATTTGCAGTGCTCAATCATTAATTCACGTTATAAAACTGTCAGTTTCTTGTACAAGCTTTCTTCATATAAAATAGTTCTAGAATCCTTAATTTGCCGGTCAATTCCCAAGGCTCAATGTTTAAACGTCTAACCACACAATCCATCTGCACTGCGGAGAATATATAGTAAATTAGCCAGGTTTACTTCAAACTGCAATTCCTTACTTAATATCCAGACAAGTCAAATAAGTCGAACAATTTATACGTATATAACCAAAAATATCACCATACCACAAGTAGTTTACCACAAGGGTTACACTTATACAGCAAAAATCAGTAAATTTCCCACGACGTATGACTTTTAAACAGGTGCAACAAACCAAATAAATCAAATATATCGAACTTTTAATTATATTCACAAGATAAGGCCAAATACAAAGGAAATCATAAAATTATCAGAATGTTTTACAACGATAGGAAATTATTTATTTGAGGGAGATTTGCAGTGGTGCTCGTCACAGTTACGGTAGTTCCACACCCATCGTCCACATCGCCAAGGCTAGTTGGATCGCAAGAACAGGACGACGCTGTGGAGAGCCGCCTGTAGTTTCATCTACACAAGTTGGGGAACAGCGAGGCTTCACTCCGCCAATGGGATTCCCGGTAGCTAAAGACTCTCTCCAGGCTTCACAGTTTAACTGGGTTGCCTACAACATCAGGGATCCGCCGATCCATGTACATCATATAAAGAATCTGCAATAGAAAATAATCAAACTACGCCATGCCCAAACGATTACAACAACTCTGTCAAGATGGCAAATTAAACCAATTCCAAGCAATTAAAATGAAAAGCCATAAGGTATAACTTACGATTGTGCCGACATATGCTTGTCCGAGCCCCCCCCCAAGACTTCCCAGAGCCTCATTCATCTGTGCCAATAGCCAAGGGACGGCACTAGCTAACCAAAGTGGCGAAGTCAGCATAAATTAGAACACCGTGTTCCCTCTACCGTAACATGTAGCAAGTCTCACNTTTATCATATCCTACCCCTGCGTATGCTGAAAAACCTGGTTGAGTCATTTTAAAGCCAGGGCCTCCCCTAGCCAGAAAATAATAATAAAAAAAAAATAGCCAGCTTCCAGCCAACTCCCATAAGACAGTGTGTTAAGTGACCCCTTGTGTACGATCTAATGAATTATTTACAAAACAGTGCCTGGGCAGTGGAATATTTCTTATCAGTGACAGCTGTCTGGAACTCTGTCTGGAGGCCTCCTAAAGTGTTATTTTGGTTGGGGGGTGTTGCAGTGGTGGTGTGGCTTGGCTGGCGCGTGGCGAACCCCCCCCCTCAAATCGGGATAGCCTGGGAAAAAGGGCGCACACGGTACTGTGATGTACATTTTGGTGGTTTTTAAGAGCTGTAGAGGCTAGGGGACAACTACTGAAGCATTTATATACCTTTAGCACGGACTCAGGGCTCTGCAACCCTGAGAAATGATACGGTCTCATCTGACAAGTCCGCTCCCGCAACCACGCAAAAAAAAAATCATATCGCGTCCCCGGGGGTTGTATTTTTACGATTCATGTAAAATGAAATAAGGCCCATCAACAAATAAAGTGAATTGAAGAAAGGATCAGTATATGCACAGAAAATATACAGTCATAAAATGTGATAAATTGCAAACTAAAAGACACAAAATTGCATTAACGAGGAAAATATGAACGTGTTAACACGAATCACATAATTTATTTATTCATTTATTCCATTTCTTTACCCAGGGTATGCTCAGACAAACTGGCTTCCATTGAGGCCCTGCGATGACTAATAAAAAAGTTAGAAGCTTGCGATGAAAAGTAAAATTGACAAATACGACAAACATTAATGTTTAAAAATACAGACCATTAAAATATCATACACAAGTGAACTTTTAAATAATCAACGCATTAATTAAACAATGATCACGGGATGGGGAAACCCGCAAATAAAAAAATGGGGAAAAATGAACACGCTCCGGCACCAATGAACATTGGCAACCAAGTTAACAGCTCCATAGATCAGCATTTTGGACGACACAGCACTGGTCATGGCTTTCTGTAGTTCTGATTTGAATTCCTTAAGGACTCTATACTTCTGAGTTGCTCTGGCAAATT